GAATTAGTGAAGAAGAAACAGAGAGGAATTTAAGATTTAGGTACCAGGTACATTAAGGCATTTTATCTCTTCTTCATTTTCTCATATTGGCGTGGGAGAAAATAATAATTACTCCTCAACATGACATAGAAACTTTACATATCTCTTAAACCAGGAAGCTGTATTTCAAATGGCACCATGGTATTGTTTGAAGGCTAATATATAATAATTAAAAACTACATGCAGAATAAAGTGTGTCAAATAGTATGGATAGTTGCAAACTCAAGCACTTAAAGTTAGAAAAACACACATTTAAGATTACCCAGCATTACTCCATGCACACACAATGTGATAACCTGCTATATTCAATGGGCAAGATTTCACAATTTCTTTTTAGCATCATTTTTCAGTCCATAACTCCAAGCCTCACAACCAAACCCCTCTTCTTTCTTTTTTTTTTTTTTTCTTTTTTTTAAAAAAAAATGTTCATGAGAGTTTTTCTTCTTGGCTTTTATATGGTTTTCATTGCTTAGGTATCTAACAGTTATGTAAGTATTCAGCTAAGTCTAAAAACATACAGTCATGTGCACAAATACAGGCATAAAGGTTTGAAAATGTTGTATTTGCCCCTCTTTGTCTCCCTCCTAAAAAATACATTAAGATTTACTTCACTAGTGATTGTGAGGCTCAAGGGCCAAACGAATACCGATGGAAAGAAGTAGGAAGTTTCCACCTGACCTTGCTGGGAGCTAGACTAGAACTTTCATGAGGCAAAACATTTGCAGAGGACCAGGTAGTATTTTATTATGATTTATTAAATGTCAGTTTATATGAGTTTTATTGAATACGAGATTAGAGCAGTAGTTATTATATGACAGCAGAGTCTTCTGTGATTTACTCATGAACTGCTCTTCTTCCTTCATCTGCAAATACCCTGCAGAGTCAGGGGGAAAACACGGCATCAGCTAAACCAAAGAAATGGAAATGAGAATACACGTTTAAATCTTGGGGCACTAGAGAGCTTTATCATGCTCATCTTCTACCTGGTGTTATTGATCTCTTTTAGCGCGGGAATCAGGCTGTGAATATGACCTACAAAAGTGGCAAAGATTTTGAACTTTATTATACTGGCTTGGGATTCAGCCTTCATTGGAACCGAAAGGGCAATTGTTCAGGGGATATGTGTGAGTCAAGGCAATTTGTCCACAAAGTGAAGAGGAAGAGAGCGGTAGCAGCCGTAGGGGAAAGCCGGGAAAGAAAACACAGCTGGACAGATCAGAAACACCGAGCTGTTCAGTTGGGATAATAAGGGCTCAGTACTAGGCAAGCTGAGGATGAAACACGGAAATGTATGAGGGATGCTACAATACTCAATTCTCAAGGATGCCAATAACAATTTTTAGCACAGAACAAGGGATTACATTAGGAATTATCACACTGAAATTATTTTTTTCATTTCTATTCTATTTAAATTTAAGCATGAAGAACTTGATCCAAAGGCCACTGGAGGCAGCAGGTCTCTGCGTTTACTTCCACACCTACACAGTTAAGTCAAAACTGGACTCCTATCTTTAATGCTCTTGGTGGCCTGCACCCAGGATACCCGAGAGGCTATATTCTGGGATGAAGATCACAGCTGATAACTACAGCATGACTGAACTTTTCAGAGTCAGGGTAATTCTGTCTGCACAGGCAAAAGTACCTTTGCACAGAGTGAGACAAGTCTGTGGAGCACTTTCCCACAAGAATTAAGGATAATACAAAACTTTACTACCTTGTTTAAGAACAAGATATGTTCCTCTGACCTTGTTTTCTTTTACATAAACCCACTGCACATTTGGATGTGTGTCTCTGCGTTTGTGTTGAAATGCATCAGGCAAACTTCTCTCCTAGAGACAAAGTGACAACAGGCACATGGCAGACATCGGTCACTTTGCTTAGCACACTGCTGGGATCTATGTGTTCACTGTAACTCTAGAACAGATCAGGACAGAAAGGAGCTCTACCGCTCCAAAGAGAAACCAAATAAATGTTTTGTCTTAATTTTGCTGCTGCTGATATTTTTGTAAGGAGAAATATACATTAACCACTTCAACTGGGCTGTATCCCAGTATTGTTGATAGTTAAAGCCAAAAAAACATTTAACACATTTAAAATCTTAGGAAAAAAATATTAGAATTGCAAATCCATGTGCCATCCTTTCTACAACTTTTTTTCAGACATTGGCTCTGTTGCATCCACAGATCAAAGCTTTGTGCACTGTTTCATTAACCATGGTTTTCCTACAGACCTGTAGGTGCAGAATGGTAGCTTGTGCCTCTGCTGCTCTTCAGACACTGCTGACAGTGATAAACTGGGAGGTAACTGCTTTGTCTGGACTGGAAAGATTCTGTAGGGTGGTTGTATCTCCAGCGTTCCTCAGATCGCAATTTCAATACAGAGAAACATTCAGGCCAGAGTGATGGGAGACAATGACTGTCATTTGAAATAGGGTTTGGCAACAGAGTTGCTGACAAATGCTTCAGGGTGATGTTTGTGGGGAGAAGTATGCTATCATAGATGTGACTTGTTATTTCAGTCTGAGGGAAGAAGGTTCAGACCCATCATTTATTGGAACCTATTACAGGACTTAAACTGGTGATTTTGACATACTTCCAAGACAAATATGCTACCAAGAGTAAGACATGTTCAGTAAGGTGCGTGTGCTAGGAAATGAGGATTGTAATTGCCGTACTGGAAGAGCTTTTTGTCTATGCAGTTTAATAACCTTCTCCTAGCAGTGTCCCTTCTGACACAACGTGATTCAGAGATGAATCATACCAAGCAAATGGTAAGTGTCTTTATCATCGCATAGCAGACTTGACCAAGTGGTTAGTGCTTATTATTGGCAGACACCCTAGGATTTGAGCCCTACAGTGTAAAACATTAGGAATTATGCCTCATGTAAAGCTTGGGCCCCTTCATTAAACATCATGGGGATGTTTATGGTTTCCTTCCTACTCTGCAGATCATAGCAGAGGCCCCAATTTTTCAGCACAGTGTTTCTCGTTGCTTGCAACAATGAATTAGACTGAAATTCTTTCCACACAGCCCTGCTTTGCAGAACAGCTTTTGATAGAAACAGTAAGTCCAATACTGTTTGTCCTTAGCCGGCACTTAACCAAGACGTACATATTTAGCCTTTGTAATCTTTCCTTGTGAAAGAGTTTCCTTGGCCATGTAATAATTTCTGTAATTCTTTTCTGACCTCTCTCTAACTTCTAATTTTTCCACCTGATACTGTGGTAGCAAAAGGAATTTGCTATCTTGGCTGCCACCCACATCATTAGGAAAAAAACATGGAATGACAGAAGTACAAAGGCAAGAGACACTGAGAGTGTAGGGTAGTGACAACAAATATTTAATTACAAAAATACAGGGTGTAGAAATTAGATAGCATTGTAAAGATTTTAAAACCTGCAAAATACTGAAGAATACTCTACATGTAACATTTTCCTCTGTTATTTTTTTCTCAGACACCATCATACGATAATTGAACTTTAAAAAACAGTTGGAGAGCATTAATATCTAGCTATAGCATTGCCTTGCACCTCATTTACAGTATAAGCCACGATTCTTTAAATACATGTTTATATATACAGGCTCTCTAAGGTGTCAGTGAAGGTGCAGAGGAGTGTGCTATTTCATCCATATAATCATGCTAAATGATTATGACCTAAACCAGCAACTGTTTTGGGCAAATCTTCTCAGATATACTACTAGCTAGACTCTTATCTATAGACATACTTTTCAATGACAAAGGTTATCTGTACTGCAACTTTAGGGCTCCAAGGAATCCTGGAGCTTCTGCCTACCAGCATATTTAATTTTTACAATAACAGCAGTTCTTGCTAACTAACTTTTGCTTGTTTAGTTTAGAGTGTTTTTAAGAAAGAAGTTGCCTAAGATTTGCTTCTTTTACAGTTTTGGTGTTATAGCTGGTGCTTTTTCAAGATGTACTTCCCACAGACTCATTAAATTCAGTAATTGGATGACTGGTACTATTACAGTCTGGTCTTAAAATGTGTGTCCATTTACTGGCTGCAAAGTGACAGAAATTAGTGTCACTAAGATAAGAAATTCTCTAATCTAAGGTAAAAGATTTTTTTTTCCTACACATTTTTGGTGACCAAGGAGGTTTGGGCTCATTCCTTTCAGAGATGTTAGCTAGCGCAGAGCAACCTTGAAGACTGGAAGCATCCTCCCACGTGCATCCTCAAAGGATGTCTCTAGTGTAGAAAAGAAGTGTTCAAAATAATATGCGGCATCAGTTCCAAAATCGTAAATGTTTAAGAGGTTGTAGTAAATGTTCACTCGTCTTTTTTTTATTATTTGGCTGAGTGAAAAGCCAACAAAAGGTAATTTCATGTTTTCATTCCTCCCCATGTTAAAAACTGTCCTCCTTTAGGGCGTTGAGGCAGTGTTTGAAAGCATGTCCATGTTTTCTTAGGGACATCAACACCGTGAAAGCGAGACTTCATCTTCCCACCACCCAACCTACAGTGAACACAGCACGAATTTATTTCTACCCTTGGCGCGTTCGCAGTGGCTGCCCGAGGCGGATGAGAATAACCGGCCTGAGCTTCGCCAGCTTTGAGCTTTTGCGGGCCACTCTCCACGCTTCGGACAAGAAGGGCTTTCTCAACACGTGGGAACCCGAGGCCACGGACCAGCATCTGGGCGATGATGACCCCAAAAAGGCCATAACAGCCTGAGGGGGAGAAGCCCTCAAGGTCTCGCTGGGCTTTGCCCGGTGCTGGAAGTAGCAGCCGCCTGACACCGACGGACCTCCCGGAGCCTGACGGAGGGGACACGCCTAGGCAGGCCTCTCGACGTGATTTATTTTTTTTCACTCCTGCAGCTTGTTCAGTAAAAAAAACCCCAGCAGGCCCCGCCTGCTTTGTCCCGGAAACCGCCGCCGCTCGCCTGCCCGGAACCTTTGGAGCCGGAACGCGGTTGCGCGGAGCGGGGGCCGGGCGGGAAGGCGGCCCTGATGGACGCTGGGAAGATGGCGGCCACCGTGTCGGGCCCACGTGGGCGCGGGGTTGCGGCGGGCGAGGAGGCGGACAGCGGTAACGGCGCTGCTTCCCCGGTGGCGACGGGACTGGGGCTTGGGTCCCCCTCTGCTCAGACGGGCTTCTAGGGCCTCGCCAGCCCCCACGCCTCTCCTCTCTACCCCTTCTGAGCCCGCCGGTGGGCCGCGGGCCCTCCTTTCTTCCTCTCCTGCGGGGTCGGAGCCGGGGGCTGGGCCCGGCTGGCGCGGGGCGGCGGGAGCCTGCCGGGGCCGCTGCCCGCTCTGGGGGGGGGGCAGCGGGGCCGGGGCGGGTGGCGTTTCCGCGGTGCTGTCGCTTTCGGTGGCTCTGCTGTGCCGGCGGCAGCTCCTTTGTTCTCTGGGCCCACCCGCATACCCCCCGCTGCCGTGTGGCGCAGGGGTACCCCTTCCTTGGAGTGGGGGGAGCGGTTGGGCAGAGCTCCGGGGTGCGGGGGGCTGTGTGTCTGTCTGTGTCCGTGCGGGCCGGGGAGCTGCTTCCTGCTCTGAAGGAAACCGGAGAGACACGCCGGTTGCAGTAACACAGAGTGTAAACACGCTCGTACTCCAGCCTTTACACGTGATTCTCCACTCGTTTTTTGCCACTTTGTGTGTTGTGATGGTATACCTAACTAGTTGTGATCTCCTCTTAATTATAAAATGTAATTGGATTTTTTTTTTTTTTTCCCCCCTCTCTATTTTGGGAGATGTCAAGGTTGTGGCCATTTGGAGCCGTAGCTCACAGTGGTTCTGTCTGGTTTGAGGGTCAGAACTGAACCCAAGGGGAAGCTTTGTGTGGGAGCTTCTTTCAGAACTCATTTCTAAATGACTGTTGTTTTTAGCAGTATGTCTACACCTAGATCACTGAGCAAGTTTAGAAGAATAAAGTGTAGAGATGCGTATCTCTACCCCTGCCCCATTTAGGATTTTTTATATTAAATCTGTGCCAGGCTTCAATCTGCAGTTCAGAATAGAGCCCGAGATCCTAATTCTGATAGAATTAATCTACTTGATTTACTTTGAAATACCTTTGCTTTATCTCATGGTGTCAACAGATCCTCTGATGTATTAAAGAATAAGTCATGGCTGGTTGTTGAAGCCCTGTTCATCTTTCTGTAACTGTTAAAAGCAAAATGTTGTTGGTATTATCTAGCACTATCCTCCCATTTTATTGGCAGAAAATATTATGTAAAGGAGACTAATATGTGCTTTTTCAATTTGCCTTTTTACGTCTCGTGTTTTTGATGGCTAACTGAAAGTTGGCCCTAAGAAGTGTGTGGAATTCAGGTTTGGACTTTTGGTAGCTGTTAGTTCCTATATGTATACAGCCACAAGTAGGCATTAATTCCTTGTTTAAACTAGATAGCAATATTGTAGCGCGGACAAAGCTTAGGGGTGAAAACTTGACAAATTGTTTTACATGGAGGAGCCAGGATGTGGTAACACTTCTGTGTATTTACATGGAATGGTTTGAAATTTTTTTTTTTTTTTTTTTTTTTTTTGTTGGAAATCAGGTTATGGAGACATACTGATATCATAAAGAGGATGCCATTAGTAGTTTCTGAATGTGTTGAACAAATTTGCCACTACTGAATTTCCAATTTATAGTAAGGACTGCTGGAAAAAAAAAAAAACAAAACAAACCAATTTATCCTGTGTGGAGCGTGACACAACACTCCGTTCACCTTGGTCATAGTAAAAATCATATTGATACAGATAATGAGCAACCATTCAGTAACTATTTCTCTTCCACATTTGTGATGTAAACATTTAATCTTGCTTCTTTCCGTGATGATATAACTGAATGATCTCTAAGCCTCTAAACATGCCTGGGTGTTAGAGGATTTGTTTTACGTTGGTTAACACCACTGTTTTGCTGCTCTGTTAGGCTTTTTTGCTGGATCTAAAAGGCACTTGGAGAAGGCAGAGTAAAGAGTTAGTCTTGCAACAGAGTATATGTTTAAGTAATTAAATAGGCAATTCATTGATAAGGAATGTCATTAATAGCTGTCTGCATGGTTTTATGGAAAACAGATGTGAGGCAGTCCTGACTTCATTCTCTTCATGATTTGGTTGATAAAAGGTAGTTCATGGGATGTAGTAGTGTGCTTTACAAAGTAAAGCATTTGGCTCAGTAGTACTTAACACTGTGATTTTAAAATACTCTTCAAAGTAGTGTGAGTGGTAGGTAGATGACAAACAGTCAGCTGGTATCTCAGAGTTGGTGGGATTTGTCCCCATGCTGGTGGGACTGTGGAGGTGTCAGAAATCAGCTTCCTTCATCTAGCACTTGATTTGCAGCCTTGAAAGTTGTATATAACGTAATTAATTTAAAATTTTCAGGTGACACAAGTATTAGTGGAATGGTAGTTAATAATGACAGGACACTTGTATGCTCTGCTCTTAATTATGTGGTAAAATGGATCCACTGAAATAACCAAACATATTTTAGCACACCCTAAACTTGCAGCCTGTTTCATTTAGTTAATCATCTCTGCAGTTAATTATTTTTGCTATTTGACTCACTGAACAGACTAAGGAGGGAAGTGGTAGATTCTTTATGTGTTTGATTTGCTGTCTAGGTGGCTGTTCTCCCTAGTCTTGCTGATGCATAGTTTCAAACTTCACTATTTAAAATTCTTTGTTTTTCATTTTGAAAGGGGCATAGTGTAAGGAAACTTGAATTTGGGGGTGTTTTATTTGTGTATTGAGAACTTGAGCAGTTACTTATACCAGAAAAGCTCAGTGCCTCTGGTGTCTTTTGATCTACCTGACAACTCTCTTGATCCTTTATTTCCCAAAGCAGTCTCCCCTCTGTGTTCATGATGTTTAGGTAATAGTATTTTTGCTGGCATTGTTTTCCTTGAGCAGATTTTGCTTTCATGTAAGAAATTCCCCCCTTACCTCCAATTTAATCTGTGTGGCTGTTTGCATTTAAACACTAGATGTCACTGTTGCAGCTTGTATATAAGCATGTACATACATACATATCTGCATACATATGTGTGTATATATGCATTTATAAATTATAACTTTTGAACTGGAAAATACAGGGTCTTTTTCCCCAAACTTGCCACTCCTAAACATCAAAATATTAATTGATCTAATAATAAATTTCCAAGGCTGCCTTTTCCCTTTTACCCAACCTCTTAAATCATTTTAAATCATCACTGAGATGAGCAAGGACTTGCACTGGATACTTTCTAATAAATTCATTATGGTGGTGTATTCCTGCTTGAGGAATTAATTGTAACAGCAAGCAGTACACAGCCCTGAATTTAGATAACATTTACATATGGAGCAAATTAGTAAGGATCTATCACCAGCTTAGAAACAGAACTCCTGATACTTTTTTTTGCTCCCTTTTTGTACCCCTAGATTCAGAGTTAAGCTCAGGACTTCCAGAAGACAGCTATTCTTCAGGAGGTGAAGCCCTGGATGGTGATGATGAAGATGAAACAGCAGCCCTTGGCCGTGTGGTTGAAGAGGCAACAAGCTCCAAATCTGGCCCAAGTGCAGGCTGGGCAGATGCCATGGCAAAAGTGCTCAACAAAAAGATTCCACAAAATAAGTCTACCATCTTGGCCAAGAATAAAAGACTGGAGAAGGAGAGAGAAAAGTTAAAACAAGAAAGGCTGGAGAAGAGAATGAAGGTGAGAAAAAGATGCAGTATTTTGTTGTGCAGTCACAGTCAGGGGGATACATCCAAGATCCCCTCAGTGGGGATTTGGGCGAGTGCTCTGAGACTGTCTCAGTTTTGGAATCCCTCCTCCACAGTGATGTCAAATGGCTTCAATTTTTTTACTTTCCAGACAGTCACGCTGTAGGGCTTTCTCCCTCACTGCTTTTTCTGGGCCATCATCAGGCTGTTCTTTGGCAGCAGAACTGTTCCAGTCTGTCAGCTTAGGGTGTTTTTGTTGTTGAGATGGTGAAAGGATCTGCTTTAAGCTTAGTTTTCTAAATGCTGTTGTTAATTTGGGGTATAATTCATTTTGTCGGCATTACAAGTTGAAATAGTTCTCTCTCATCAAAAGTGAGAGGGAGAAAGAGAAGAAAATTGCTTTCATTTAAATTCTGCTGCAACTTCCAAAATCAAAGGCCTCTAGATTGAGATTGCAGTAGTCATTGATGTGGTTGTGAATCATTGTTTGCTTGTCTCGATGATTTTCTTGGTAGGAGTTTTCTATTACAGCGTCCGTGCCCTAAATTGCTTCTGGTTCTGAAACTGTTATGAAGGCAACAAAACTATGTTGGCAGTTAAGTCATTTGTTTGTGTGTCTTTAGTGGAACTTTTAATTCTAGGCTGTGATTGATTTACCTTCAGGCTAAAAATACATTAATAGTTCTAATGTCTTATCTTACTGGTTCTGTTTCAATAGGATGAACAGGTTATCCACCTGACAGTCTGGGACATGCTGTGTTTAGGCCACGGCCTGCCTTTTAAATACAGAGAGTTTCAGTACAGCATCTGCTCAGTTATGGTTGTCCTATATACCTGTTCTCATCCAGTAAATATGTGGGAGTACTGCAAAGCAGAGGTGGGCTGCAGGTCCCCAAATTGACTTGTTTACCCTTAGAAAAACTTGAGAACAGTCTGCCTCCTATTAATTTCTTGCTGCTGGAAGCTACAATAGGGCAGTTCTTTTGATAAAAGCCCAAAATTTGGCCATAAACTCACAAATTTGTAGTTGTCTGCCTGGAATTATAAAGATGAGGACTCTGAAATTCCATGAAAGACTTCTTGCATAAAACAGACTTGATGCAACATCACCAGGCCTAGAATACTGTTAAATTGTTGAAAGCGGTAGGACAGAATATTTCACTACCTTACTTCTGAATCAGAGTCTGGGAATATACAGTGTTCTCCTATTGTAGCAGAAAAAAGCTGTTGGTGTTTTGGCCCCTGGTAATGGGAAAGTGGATCAGTTTGGTTTTGAAAGAGCTTCAAAAATCAGACAAAAATCAGTGTTGTGCAGAGGAGTTGTTCGGTAGGCACTTGTTGCTCTTCCTGATGTTTGAGTTCTGCTGGTTACAGACTTTGCCATGTGTCGCTGTTGGTTACAAGCTGTATCGTGATTAATTGAGTGGGGGAAGTCCAATTCCCAAGGTTCAAAGTGTGACATACCTGTCTTGATAGACCCAGGATTTTATTATGTATAAATTTCTCTGTGATCACCTTGTGAAGTCTTGTAGTGGAAAGCTGTCTTTGAATAATTTCCTTGTCCGTAGTAGTCCATGTGAAAGCATTTGAGTTCTTCTAGACTTGTTCTGCTTGTCTTGAGCTAGAGGTATCACCCTGGTGTGACTCTTTCCTAGTTTTTGTAACAGAAGGCAAGTGATTCTTTGAGATTTGACTCTGGCCCCTGGTGTGTCATTGCAGGAGAGTTGCCTCACACCTGTTGTCCAGCCCCATATTGGAGCTCCCCTAAGCCTCAAACCAAACTGAGCTTTGTTGATTTACTTTTTTTTTTTTACCTCTTGCTACATACTCTATCAGAGTATGCTGCATTCTCAAATGCTGCATATTGTTTCACATAACAATATTTATAATGCAGCTTAATAAAAGGCGGGAATGGGAAATGATGTGCCGAGTGAAGCCAGATGTTGTCAAAGACCGAGACAGAGAAAGAAATCTCCAGAGAATTGCCACGAGGTAAGAGTTTTTTCTGAATGCTTTCCTTAACTATATGTATATTGCAAAAAGGAGAAAAAGGGGAAGAAAAGGCTTGCGCAGGTAATCTGTTTCCAATCAGATTGAACTCTTAAGAACTGACTAGCCGGAGCCGAGTGGTTTATATACAGGTCTGCATTGTACAGTATCAAGTTCAACAAAAGATTTCAGAAGCTTTATGAAAGAGTAAAAATTTAGATGGGAATGTAATGTTTGCTTAGCAGAAGTGCTTTGTTGGATCCCCTCATTTTGGTAATTTAATTCTTTAATAATGCAAAGCAGTTGTTTCTACTCCTGTTTTTTCCTCCTCTGCAGAGGATTCGCCAGATCCACTTCTGTTAAGTTCAGTTGCCTGTTCTGCATTGTGGTAGTTTGGTCTCGCAGAACTAGTTGGATACCTTGATGTGCTGTCTGTGTATCTCCTTCCTCATTCCACTGCCTTGTCCCCCTACTTCAGCTGCTCTTAAGATCTTGCTTGAGGAATTTAATAACTGATTATAGGACAAGTAATATGTTTCTGGGAATGAAACATGCTCTTGCGCTGATCTCAGTGCCATGTTACCATGCTGACTTTAGGGTCTGAATAGTTATTTGTGGATTTGTTTGTTACTGGTTCCTAGCAATAAGTCTTTTGCATTGTAGTAAATGTTACTTCCTAACTGATTTGAGGTTCTGCATGACCATTTTGGGGAGCCAGAAGTCATCCATCGTCTGCACTGATTAGTTGCTTTGATAGAGGGTTCATTTCTTTAAAGGGAACTTGAGTTAAAAACTTCTTCTTTTGTTGTTTTTTTCCCCACCCCAGAGGTGTTGTACAATTATTTAATGCTGTCAGGACGCACCAAAAGAAAGTTGATGAGAAGGTGAAGAAAGCTGGGAGCTCTGACAGGCAACGTGCTAAACTGCTGTCATCTGTTTCAAAGAAAGATTTCATCAATGTTTTAAGAAACATGGAGGGTGCTAAAGGAAGCAAGAGTCCTGCTGGAAAGGCCACAAAAAGTAAACAGGTAGGCTTTTTCTGGGAGAAAAAAAATGCGTACAAAGTACCTTCTCAGTATAAGTACTGTCTGTTAATGTGCCTGCTCTTCAGAACAGATGTTATCCAAGTGCCTGGGTTTTTTTGAGACTACTTAAGAAGGGAGCAAGTAACTCTTAGCCTGTTTTCCCTGTTTTTTGAGTATCAGGGTAAATACACTGGAAGTTATTCTGATAAGACATCAAGCCTTGTGTACCAATAACTTGGTTTAGCTATGTGTTTAAAAAAATAATACGAAAAATTGGATTTTTTTCTTGGATTTTGCACCAATCATGGAACAAAATGCTAGATTTTAGTGGGCTGTGCCGTTCAGCATTTGGCCAATAGTAGTTATCAGCTCTTTAAAATTGCTAAAGGCATGGGGGCTCTTCATCTTACGCAGTGTATTCCTTGTGTGTACTTAGAGTTTTGGGCATTTCAGACTCACTTTCTCTGGATGATTATGGTATCTGGAACTGGAAGGCTTTGTCATACAATTGAATACTGCAACAGAAGGAAACTGAGGCATATTAAACATTATATGCAGGCTTTTCTTTCCCTGATTCTGTGTGTGTGTTAGGCTGATGTGCCTTCATTGCTGTTACGATGTTTTGGAAAGAAGTATTTTAACACATTCCACTTTTTCCAAACTTGCTCAAGAGAGACACAGTGTAGTTTGACTCATCCAAATCTTTATCGGTTCTTTCAACTCACCAAGTAGCTCAGGGTTGAAAACAAGTTGCTCAGACATACTCTTTCTCGTATTTCAGAAGCTGCACATTTTTGAAGTGTATTTGTGTTCAGGTTTGAACTTTGTGCTTGGTAGTGGGTGGAATACTTCTGTTGGCCGAGACTCACAGCAGTTAACTAAGTGCTTTTCTGTGCCAGGAAGAAATACTTTAATCAGTTGGGAGACAACAGTTTGTCATATGTTTTTTGTTTGTGTGCACTTGGGGAGCATGCTGAAACACTGCCTGGCGTGAAGAGCTCATACAATTTTCATGCAAGTGTAACATTAAAGTATTTCTTAAATTCTTTGGATAATGAGAACAATTTAGCTCGGTGCTGACACTTTATTTCTCCTTAAATAATTCCAGCTTGCTTGTGTGGGTGGGTGGGGGCCATGCACGTGTGGGGTTTTGGTTGTGTGTGGTTGTTTTTTTGTTTTTTTGTTTTTTTTCCCCCCTTACCAGGAATATCAGAACATTGTAGGGATAGCAGGGCCAACTGTTACTGTAGTAGACATTGAATCAATAGCTGAGCAAAAACTGGGACCTTTTTTCTTTGTGTCAGATTGTAGCAGAGCAATTAACTAATTACTTCATCAGAAAACATACATTTTGAATGTTTCTATACAATGCAAAAAAAGTCTTATTTTGGCAGCATCAATAACAGCATATTTCCATAAAAGTGCTATGGAGATGCTTTAGATGCTGGCTGGTTAGTGTCAGTTTTGAGTATTGATGTAGGTGCTGCTTTCACATTGCTTTTGAACAAAAACTTCACATTTTTTGGAGTTTTTTTGTTAATATAAGGCTATACTTGTAGATTTGGGTTTTTTTTGTTTGGGAAAAGGGGTTGGGGCTTTGGGTTGTTTTTTTAAAGTAGCCATCTCTGCTTGGATAGACCACCCCCTTCCCTCTCTCCCTTCTTGCATTTGTTTCAGTGACTCTCCTTTTAGTACTGAACCAAACTCTTTAATAACTGCTTTTCAAAGCTGTTCCTATTCTTATTTTCTCTCAAGAACATATTTTACCCATTTAGCAGGCTCCCATCCTTGTAGTTGTTGATGCTTGAGGTTGAGGCCAAAATCTGATCTTCAGTCTCCTCCTCAGAATTACACTAACATTTAGCCACTGAGCAGTACTGCTGGCCTTCAGTGCTGTATCTCTGCTTCTTGGTCTTTGAGGGTTTTTCAGAGGGTAGTAAGCAGGAATGAAGCTTTTGGGTGGTGAATTCCTTGCAGTTGGAGTTTGGTAGATTGTTTGTGCCATCTGAAAGCTTTTGTTTGTTTTGTGGGGTTTTTTGTAGCAGCCTGCTTTCTTTTTAGCAGTTGAGAGTATGGCGTGTATTTAATTTTTTAAAAAGAGGGGAGAAATACATTTATTTATCTCAACAAAAACAATGGAGGAGATGCCAATCCCAAACTCCAGGCAGTCTGCCATCAATTAAAATGTAGTCCAGAACAATAAAAACACTACCCCACCCACATAAAAGAAGCAATCATCAGGAAGAACAGCAGAATAAAGTTTTACCAGTGAAAGCAAACATTTCTTGTCTCAAGCTTTGTGCTATGAACTATGAAAGGAGACTTGACTATTTCTGAGAATGGGCAAATGCTTTTTCTTACTCTGCAGTTGTTTTTGAATACAAAATTTGCTGCCATATTTTCGAAAGTTTGGTGGCTTCTTCCAAATGTCAGGGGTTGTTGAAGAAACCCTTTATAAAGCTCTGTTGTGGTTGACTATTTAGTCAGATATATGTATGAGTGAGAAAAAGAAACTAAATACGCGGTAAAGGCCCATCTGTATCAGTGGGATTTCGTGGTAGCACAACCACTTAAAGTTTGTTCTCTATTTCCATCAGCTTCATGCATTGATGGGAAGGACGGGTAACCTGTGCCCTGTGAGAACGTTGTTTATAGTCTTTGTATACTTTAGCCATTGGCCTAAATAGTACTTGGGGAACACCCACCCAATGTAGCTATGAAAGAAAGACTCTAAGGCTGTGAAAATTTTCCTGTGCCATGTGAAACTGTAGTCCTTCTTGGGGTTTTGTGTGCCCAGATGGGAGTAATTACTTTTCTGAGCTGGAGCCAAAAGTTTTACCTTTCATATCATTAGCTATTTATCAAGGTATTTCTTAATCCTTGCTGAGCCAGCTGACTTGTGTAATATTTTTCCGTTTTTTTCCAAGGTACTGTACGTGATACTTGCCTCTGAGTAAGATCATCTGTTTTCCCTCCCTTCACCACCTTATCTGAAAGCCTTGCAATGTGGGAGAAAAATGTATTAATTTTATTAAAAAAAAAAAAAAATGTTTGTTGTGTGGGTGGTGTTTGGGGAAGCATTTATTGGGAGATATCATAGTATGGCTTGGGTTGGAAGGGACCTTAAAAAATCATCTCTTCCAACCTGTGCCTGCCATGGGCAGGGACACCTTCCACTAGACCAGGTTGCTCAAAGCCCCGTCCGATCTGGCCTTGAACCCTTCCAGGGAGGGGGCAGCCGCAGCTTCCCTGGGCACCCTGTGCCAGTGTCTCACCAACCTCACAGTAAATAATTTCTTCTTTCTAACTAATCTAAATCTACCCTCTTTCAGTTTAAAACCATTGTGCCTCATCCTATCTCTACACCCCCTGATAAAGAGTCTCTCCCCAGCTTTCCCATAGGTCCTCTTTAAGTACTGGAAGGTCACTACAAGATCTCCCCGGAGCCTTCTCTTCTCCAGTCTGAACAACCCCAACTCTCTCAGCCTGCCCTCTTAAGGGAAGGGCTTCATCCCCTGATCATCTTTGTGGTCCTTCTCTGAACTGGCTCCAACAAGTCCATGTCCTTCTGATGTTGCGGGCCCCAGAGCTGGATGCAGCACTGTAGGGGGGTGTCTCATGAGAGCAGAGCAGAGGGGGAGAATCCCCTCCCTCGACCTGCTGGCCACACTTCTCTTGATGCAGCCCAGGACAAGGTTGGCTTTCTGGGCTGCGAGTGCACATTGCTGGCTCACAGTTTTCCATCCACTGATACCCCCAAGTCCTTCTCTGGAGGGCTGCTCTCAATCCACTCATCTCCCAGCCTGTATTTGTGCTTGGGATTGCTCCGACCCATGGGCAGGACCTTGTACTTGGCCTTGTTGAACTTCATGAGGTTTGCACGGGCCCACCTCAAGCCTATCCAGGTCCCTCCGGATGGCATGCTTTCCCTCCAGCATGTCAACTGCGCCACAGAGCTGGGTGTCGGTGAGCTTGCTGAGGGTGTGCTCAGTCCCACTGCCCTTGTCACCAACAAAGATGTTAAACAGTGCTGGTCCCAACACTGACCCCCGAGGAACACCATTCGTCACTGCTCTCCACTTGGACATCGAGCCGTTGACTGCAACTGTTTGAGTGCAACCATCCAGCCAATTCCTTATCCACCGAGTGGTCCATCCATCAAATCCATGTCTCTCCAATTTAGAAAGAAGGATGTTGTGCAGGACAGTGTCATTTGCTTTACACACGTCCAGGTAGATGATGTCAGTCATCTCACATGAGAGCTTTCGGTCTTGTTCAACACAGTCCTTCCAGACCAGATTTTAATTTCAGTATGTGTTGGTTGTATCTTGCAGCTTCCCACCTGTTTCATACTATAAGAAACATTATTAAACTACCGGTTGTAAAAAGGTACATATCAGAGATGTCATCTTTCCAGCCCTAGAGGCTGAAGTCCTCTTTTTAGAAGAAATATAGAAGTAGGTAGTGGCAGTAAAGGATTCCTTGCAGGAATCCTTTGTTTTCTTTAGGTCTTGAAGAAACTTCTGGGTGCTCTTAAAGTTATGGGTTAGGGAAGTATCTTTGCTTTCAGGGTTGAATGAAGTTTCTGATCAGAGTTGCACATACATGTTGGCTGATGTAGTGAATTACATGAGGTCTTGAAATCTTAACTGTAAGAAACAGAAGAAATTAAGAGTTAACATTCCCTGAACAGCCTCAACTCTTCTCTCTTGCTGCATGTCAGTTACAAGAGGGTTGTTCAGTACCAGAAGCTCTGGTCTTGACTTTTTCTTGTCATTTATGCTACTCCCTGTAATGCATTACTTCTGGGTAAAACGTTTTCTAGTAACATATAAGTAACTGGCATGAACGTTACTTTTTGTGGCAGGCGTAACCTGCACTCATCAACCTTGAATTTTGAATTTGGCCTTTGTAGCATGGTTTCTGAATCCCCTGTGTTTTCTTCAACTTGTAAGTTTTCTTACACCAGATTTGTTGGAGAGCATTTCAGTGGTAGGAGAGCA